TATATATATATATATATATATAATGGAATACTATTCAGCCATAAAAAAAGAAATCCTACCATTTGCAACTATATGGATGGACCCTAAGGGCATTATGTTAACTGAAGTTAAGTCAAACAAAGAAAGACAAATACAGTACAATCTCATGTGTGAAATCTTAAAAAAAAAAAAAAAAAAAAGAGGGGGGAGGGGTGCCTTGGCAGCTCAGTCGGTTGAGCTGACTCTTGATTTTAGCTCAGGTCATAATCTCATGGTTCATGGGATCAAGCCCCACACTGGGCTCTGTACTGACAGTACAAAGCCTGCTTGGGATTCTCTCTCTCCTTCTCTCTCTCTGCCCCTCCCCCACTAGCACTCACACCCTCTTGCAAAAATAAATAAACTTAAAAAAAAAAAAAAGAATGCACAGAAAACAGACTGGTGGTTTCCAGAAGCAGGGGTAAGGGTAGGCAAAATGGGTGAAAGTGGTCAAAAGGTACAAACTTTCAGTTATAAAATGAGTAAGTTCTGGGAATATAAAATTAAAAGAAAATCTTTTATTAAGGTAAACAAAGGCAATTATTAGCAAAGAGAGACAAAAAACAACCTCAATTTTTTTTTTAAGATTATTTGTTTTGAGGGGCGCCTGGGTGGCGCAGTCGGTTAAGCGTCCGACTTCAGCCAGGTCACGATCTCGCGGTCTGTGAGTTGGAGCCCCGCGTCAGGCTCTGGGCTGATGGCTCAGAGCCTGGAGCCTGTTTCCAATTCTGTGTGTGTCTCTCTCTCTGCCCCTCCCCCATTCATGCTCTGTCTCTCTTTGTCCCAAAAATAAATAAACGTTGAAAAAACAATTAAAAAAAAAGATTATTTGTTTTGAGAGAGCAAGCATGAGCAAGTGGGGAAGGGGCAGACAGAGAGGGGAGGGAGAGAATCCCAAGCAGGCTCTGTGCTGATGCAGGGCTCAATTCCACAAACCATGAATGAGATCATGACCTGAGCCGAAACCAAGGGTCTGACGCTCAATTGACTGAGCCACCCTGGCACCCCAAGAAATAAACTCATTGTCTAACACCAGCAGATATTATGGTGTGGCCAGGAGTGATCACTACACAGCCACTGGAATTATGTCAGAACCTTTCTTACTGATGGAGAAAAACGTTTCATGTCTCTTAAAGGCAAAGGAGTATGAAAAAGTCTCTCTTTATCAAGTGTTCCCAGTGGTTTAATTGTATTTGGGTTCTGCTCTGCCACCAGGCTATGTGTCCCAGGAACTACTGTGTGTGGTGGCATCCTCTGGAGCATGGCTGGCTGCTCTAAGCACTGAGGTTGGTGAAGACACATAGGATGGATAAACCCCTATGACTCCACTCCTAAAACTGTATTCTCCCTTGCAAATAGGGTTAGCCTCCCCACCCCACCTGGTGCTCACAGGACACCATGTGCTCAAAGGGGAACCACTACAGGACCTGCAGGTGTCTGCCCTTAAGAAGCGTTTTCTAGTTTTTGCAAGGAGGCAGAGAAGGAAATCCAGATGCACAATGTAATTTGTTGAGCTTTAAACTGTCTTATATCTTAAACTAGAAAATTTTTAAATTTTCTCCTTAGATTTATCTCCTTAGCTACATGTAGAAAAATTTAATAATTCCACTTATAGGAATTTGTCCTCAAAAAATAATTGAACACAGTTAAAAAATTAGGTGCAAGGAAGTTCATCAAAGCATTACTTACAATATGCAAAACTAAGAAACTAAAATGAAAGAAATAAAATAGGGGTTGGTTCAGTGCATCTACTATGTAGATGCACCTGCTTTAAACTGTGTTTTTAACAGAAGACAGGTGAGGAAACAGGTGCTTATGACATGCTGTCAATCATCACATGTGTAGATGCAGAGAGAAAAGTACAGATAGGAAGGTTTACTACAAAATGTTTATTTCAAAGTTCATTCTATTGTTTAAACCTCCTGTACTATTAAAGAAAATCTGCTTCCTGTAACACTCCGAGAAAAAGGAAATTAAAGTTTGTTAAAGGTGCCTGGGCCCTCACCTCTGCTTCAATTTCGTCGTAGAGAAACTGCTTGTTGAACCTGGTGAGGGCATAGTGTGCGCTGTCATTGTACAGGTCCAGGGAGTAGAGGACGTACCTGCAGAGGGGGCAAGTGGTCAGCCCAGCCTTCCACAAAGGGCTTTTCGGCTCTCACATCCCGTACTCCAAGTGAAATTTAACATTCATTGCTGACCTCTCACATGAGGAAAAACAGTTCTTACTTCAAACACCAAACTAGGTTTTTGTCCAGGATCCTAATGGACTAATAAGCCAGACAATCCCACAGATGGGACACACTTATGGAGGTCATGCCCAGGGCCCGTTGGGTCCACAAGGGCCTCCTGTAGCTGCATCTTCTCATTTATGTTTAAAGTTTCTCACCACAGAATACAGTATTTTTTATAACCACAAAAACAAGTTATTTTCTTATTTCTAAGAATGAACTGTCTGGCTTAACAAGAAAAACATAAAGGTCCTGGGTCCTACAGCTGACCATGACCATGACCAGCATAGCTTTTGAAAGCCCCTTTCCCTCTGCCCCATGTCTGGACAGAGTCTGGACAAAGCCAGAGGTCTCCAGTAATAAGGATCCTCTGAGGGTACAAGGCCACTCCCACCTCACAGCAGGGAGGCTGTGTGAGCAGTGGGGTCAAGTTCAACTCCAAAGATGCAACAAAGAGGCATGCCAAGGCCTCTGCATTAGATTTCCAGTGTTGTAGAACAGAGGATATGGCCACTCCAGAGAAAGTGGAAGGCCATCTTCCTGACCACCACATAAGAACTGATGTGCATAGGCAAAGACAAAGACATTTGCTCTGTGTGTCGAAGAACCTGCTGGGTCAGTTCCCAAGAATACCTTCATGGACCTCATATTTTCAAAATCTCTGATCCCCTCTGTTGGCCCTGAGTCCTGACCACAAAACAAAGCTGTTCAATTAATACTTTATCTCCCAAATTCATCTGGCTCAGAGGCTGTGCCACACGAAAGGCCAGGCCACATCTCCTTTTGCTGAACTTAGCTGAGTCCCCAGGGCCTTACTTGGACATGGTGGGACTTAGTGACTTCTGCTATGTTCCAGTTGGAGTCTAAAGCCAAGAAACCCATTACTTGTATTAATCTCTGAAGTCTTACCCCAAGTATGACAACTTCAAATAAAGTGCTGAACACAGTCCAGCCCCTTCCTCCCTCTCCCAGCTCCCAAATGCCACCACGGACCCTGGTTACCACAAATAACTAAAACAGGCCCACAGGGCACTCACTCCATCATGGATGCCTCCTTGGTCTCTAGGATGTGGTCCGTCAGGATCCAGGGCATGGACATCTCAATGGGGAACTGGATCCTCCTGCCCATTGTCAGCTCCAGGAAGAACTCTCGGAACCACAACTGTGAAAGGTCACAGCACTGCTGCAGCGTTTCTTGAAGGATTCAAACGACATCATGTTAATCTTCTGCAAGCAGAAAAGACTCAGCAGGACAATCTCAGGTGGGAGGGGGGCATGTGTGAGATGCTGACTCTTTCAATCTCAGCCGTGAGCCATGCGGGAGCAGATATGAGCAGGGAGGGGTCACACGGCACCTCACACTAGGGATGAGACAACCACAAAGTGGCTGCAAGCAAAGCCACCCTAGACATTGCACATTCCTGCTCACAAAAAGAGAAGATTCAGCATCTGGCCCCTGCTGGTCTGGTATACCACCACCTGCCAATGGGACCTTGTCAACCCTGTGAGCTTCTTTGAGGGACTGGGAAGGGGGAAAATGGCCTTTTTAAAAGGAGAAATAGGGGCACTTGGGTGGCTCAGTTGGTTAAGTATCTGACTTTGTCTCAGGTCATCTCACGGTTTGTGAGTTTGAGCCCTACGTTGGGCTCTGTGTTGACAGCTCAGAGCCTGGAGCCTGCTTCGGATTCTGTGTCTCCATCTCTCTCTGCCCCTCCCCCACTCACACTGTCTCTCTCACTCTCTCAAAAATAAGTAAACCTTAAGTAAGTAAATAAACAAATAATAAAAGGATAAATAAAAACCGTGTTACTTTATTTTAGGATAAAGATGCAGCATTACATGCATATTCAATACAAATCTATCTAATGCAAAACAGAAATTTTTTTTTAAAACAATGTTTCCAGGTGCCTGGGTGGCTTAGTTAGGCATCCGACTTCTTGGTTTTGGCTCAGGTCATGATCTCGCGGTTCATGAGTTTGGGCCCCGCATCGGGCTCTGCACTGACAGTGCAGAGCATGCTTGGGATTCTTTCTTTCTCCCTCTCTCTCTGCCCCTCCCCACTCCTCTCTCTCTCTCTCTCTCTCTCAAAATAAATAAATAAACTTTAAAAAAAGTTTCCATCATTTGACAAGTGAAAAACAAAAGCCTTACTATTTACTCCAAACCCACTATACTCCCAGCCAAGATAGAGGCTTCCTGCTCTGAGGAAGCTGCTGCAGCACTGGAGTAAACACAGACTCCACATTGACAAAGGGTAGCCACCCAATGCCCTGGTCAAGGTGATTTGCCACCTTCCACACATCAGTGCTCATGGAGGTTGTTTCTCATATTCATCACTATCTTGTTCTTGAGCCAGGTGACAGATGACATTTGTCTGTGTTTCTAACCTTGTATGGGTTACAAAGGCTTTGCATTCAGGTCACAGAGCCAGCTGCAGGCCCACGGCCCTCATCTTTCTAAGGGCCACGCCACATGGAAGGAGCCCTGCCAGCCGTGCATTTAAAGCGACAGGCAAGGAAATACCACGAAGGTTACAACATGGATCATCGTCTAGGTGTGTGAGGGACCACAGCAGGGATGGTCAGCAGAAGCATTCTAGACAGTGTTAGTGTTAGAACATGCTGGGCCAGACGCTGGTCAGCAGTAGCTCTTACCACTGAAATTAATCAAGTGAGTGTAGAAGAATGACTCTCGATGAAATTTTTCTATGTCCAATATGGTGGGCCCCTCAAGGCTACTTCTCAAGGTTTTCTTGGAACCACTTTTGTCTGCAATGAGGGACTCTAGCATGGTTCTCACCATGTAAAGCTGCATTATCCAAGGAAACATTTGTGGGGGAGAAAATATACATGGCACATTAGTTATACCAAACTCAGATAAACCACAAGAGAAAGACTACTGTGCTATGCCCTGACCAGAGCCAGGCTGCAGCAGTAAGCCTACCACTATGCCAGCTCCTCAAAGTGGGTCTGGGCGCCCATCTAAGTAGCCAAGTTGGTGCTGCCTGTGAGAAAGAACTTGTAACGGAGCAATTCACCTCCGTGCCATAATGTCAACAAGAAAAACAAATGATGTCTTACCACCAAAGGTTAAAAGAGGCGGATAGGTGTAGGACTGCCTCAGAAACGCGTTTACCACATGCAAGAGTCTTTCCATGCCCAAAGACTTGAGCTGCCTCAGCAGCTCGGCAGAGCTCAAGGACTCCGCCATGGTGCGCACCAGGTAGAGCTAGACATGGACAGATGGGGGGAGAGGTGGGAGAGAGCCGTTAGTCACAGGACACACACATCATAGGGTGGGGAGACACACATGGGAACGGAGGGTGGGAAGGGTGCATGCACACTGGACAGAATCAGGACAAGCATCTTCCTTGGGTGGGCCAAATGCTTTCCTCCCAGATATTTGAGAGGTTTCATTTACAGCCAACAATGTGTTTTGCTGGTAGTTCTCTGAAAGACTGGCAAGAAGGGATTATAAAAGCCCTCAACAGAAGAATGATGAGTTAAGAAGTACTACATCCCAAAATGGGAAGAGAAAAGCAGAAGGACATACTAAATCAGATATGAGAGTCACAATAAGGCTGCTTTTGGGGAGCAGGGGGCTGAGCATGGCAGGAGAGAGAAGAGCAGTGGTGGCTTAAGACCAGGGATACAAAAAAGGTATATTCTTAAATTTCTAAAAGTTTTATCTTCAGAAACAATCATTTTTAGGCCCAATGTAAAAATTATAACCATACATTTAAACACCTATCAGGAAACACAGCATAAATACGGACACATAGACTTTCACCCACATTTTTGTGATAGGAGTTGATGCAGTCAAATTAAGTTCTGCATGCAAATGATCAAATCTGAGAATCACAAGAATGCTCCAGATTCACTTGGGCAGGGAACCAAGGAGCAGAAAAGGCACAGGCAATACTTGATCATCTTGAGCAGAAGTGATGATGTCATTTTACTCCCGGTCTTGCTTACCAACCCTCAGCTTTGGGTTAGCCCACTCAGGGGAACAGATAGAGCAGGGGAGCAGGGAGGATGAAAACCTGCGTGCTGGAGGGTCCCACGGCACGCCGGGGTACTTTGATGTCGAAGCCACTCTTGGGGTCCTTCTCGCCCCGCAGGGCTGGGTCATTGAAGGGCTCGTGCCCCGTCTCCCAGTCACACACGGTCTTCCTGATGGCCTGCAGAACACTAAACAGCCCCATCAAGTCATCAGTGAGGCATGGAGCACTTATAGCTTCAGGACTTTTACAATCACTGCATCTCCTCACCTAACACAGCTGGAAAACCAATTTTCACACCTGATTTCCTTTGGGGACAGTGTGGGATATGATAATGGACCAGTTCAAAATGAAATTATCTTTGGATAGACTGTTTTCTCTGAGACATTAGTAGCCCCAGAAGATCTGACTTAGCTGCAGTTTGCATCAATTAGCCTGGAAGTGGTGTTTTATTTCCTGAACACTGTCATGCAAAGGGCAACAAGAGGACAGACCACAAATATCCACCTATGGAGCTGAAACTCGACCTCCCTTGGCTGATTCCCTGATTTCTAAAGGAACATGTCACCAACACAACTGTGGGGACTGGGTCTATGTCTCGGACACATTTGAAACATGCTCCCATCCCACCATGTGGAGACCCCCCATAGGCACCACACTTGGCAGATGTACCAATCCTATCTCATGGTGAAAATTCTAGTTAAAACCCAAGTTACTCTTAGACTATACGTTTCCCATGTGGTTAGCTTCCTACTACAGCAAGCATGAGCAAAATGGGAAGACTCACAGTATAAAATTTTATTAATGCTAAAAATCATACCAAGCCAGGTGATAAACACATCAATTATAAAGCAAGAAAATGAAATCAATACACTTGTGAGCCCTTGTAAGCTTCATTTTACATAAATGTCTCTGAAAGACAACTTTAAAAGGCTAAATATTAAGAGAAAACTAGCTCAGGATCACTACAAGATGTCTGCAATATCTATGTATTTTTTGGCCAATTTGTAGGACAGGCCAAAAAGAACAGAAGCAAAAATACTTAAAGACAACACATTTTGAGATGGAAAATCTTAGAGGACATTTACCAGAAGGGATTTTGAAGGTTGAATATAAATGCATTGAGCATATTTATGAAAATGTAACTATACAGTTGTTTAAACTAAACTAATTCTACAGTTTTGGACTCCAAGCTCACAGGGAGGTATTACACTGAGGCTGACCTCTGGATGACATTCTTCTTCTTCTTGATGGCCTGCCTGAGTGGTTCCCGGAGGGTAACCTGGGAGAAGTCCTGCAGCGCAGCATAGACGGTGTGCCGGATGGCGTGGTTGAACACACTCTCCATCCTGCCCATTAGCACCTGCAGGCCTTTGATCATGGCAATCACCTGCAGGGGGACACATGAGTTTCAGTATGGTGGAGGAGAACAGGTGATGGCTCCTTCTCAGGTGATGCCAAGTTGCACCTGGAAGCTGCCTCCCTCTCATGCATAGTACCTTTCCCTGGCCTCCTATGTTTCTGCTCTGAAGCTGCTACCCTGTAACTCTTCTCAGGAGCTCTGGCTCAGTAGCTGTCCCTATGCCTGGGTCTGACTCCATTAGACCATGAGTGCCTTGAGGGCAGGGATGGATCTGCTTCGCTTGACATGGAGCTAACAGAGAATTTGGTGACTGACTCAAAGCACTCCCAAATGCATAAAGGCACATGCCCTGTGAAGGACTTTAAAGGAAAAAGAACAAAAAAGATTCAGGAAAGCAAATATGTTATTAGCTGGAAAAGAAAAAAGAAGTTATAGGAGTTTATAGCCCAAATTCCACTTGTTAAACAGTAACAGCATGCTAAATTAATATGCATAAAAAGGCCTGGAAGAAACTACACTAAAATGCTTAAAGTTCATCTCTGTGGCAGCATCATATACTGTGCTTACTACATACTCTAGTGTTCTATTTGTTTGCTTTAGGGATCCATTTGATGGTTCTGTGTTGCTTTTCTAATGGTGGGGGGGGATTTCTGCCAAAAAAAAGGCAAATGCCCCAATTCAAATTAAAACTGATTTCAAGGGGTGCCTGGGTGGCTCAGTTGGTTGAGCATCAGACTGGCTCAGGTTATCATCTTCTGCATAGGGCTCTGTGCTGATGGCTCAGAGCCCGGAGACTGCTTCAGATTCTGTGCGTCTTTCTCTCTCTGCCCCTCCCCTGCTCGCACTCTATCTCTCTCTGTCTCTCAAAAAATAAATAAAATATTAAAAAAAAATTTTTTTAACTGAAATAAAATTCAAAACCACTTTGAATGAAAATGAAAACACTACATATTAAAAATTTATGGTATGTGGGAAAAGTATGCTAAAAAGTAAAATTTTGAGCTTTAGAGGCATACATTAGAAAACAAAAATGTGTGAAAATAATAATAATCTAATATTCATCATAAATCTACAAAAAGAATAGCAAAATAACCCCCCCCCCCCGAACTAGAGGTAAATAAAAGTAAAAATTAACAAAACAGAAAACAAGCATATCACAGAAGGTGATCAATGAAGATAAAGCTGTTTAAAAAAATAAGTAAACAAATAATAGAATTGACAAATGTCCAGCCAAGACTAATCAAGAAAAATAGACAAGCCACAATTACCAGCATTAAGAAAGAAAGGGGATGATTACTGATGGGGGAAACAAAGGCAAGAAGGAAATGGCAAATAAAATTAAAATTCCTTATAACCTGCAGCCATTGACAAATATAGAGTAAAATGTTTCTCTAGGAACTCCCTACAGTCTTAATGTTCATGCTTTGCTAAAGGGAAGAAACAACCTTAGCTTGACAAGAGCTAGGCCTCCAGGATCTTATGAGTCTTCTTTAGCACAAGAAAATCCTACTGGAAACTTCCTCTAGACTTTACATCCCCCCAACTCCCAAGTATGTAACTATTCTATCCTCAGGGTCCGGGACAGCTCTTCCTGCCCATGGGTCCTGTCCCGTGCTTTAATAAAATTACCTTTTTTGCATCAAGGATGATGCAAGAATTCTTTCTTGGCCATCAGCTCCGAACTCTACCATCACCCCAAAACACCTTATCAACTGTCACACAGTTTATAGGTATTAAGAGATTATGTGACTATATGACTATATCAACATAAGATAAACATACACGTCAATGGAATAGAAATAGAAGTTCAGAAATTTACACATTTCTATCAATTTGCAGTCAACTGATTTTCAATAAGAGTGTGGAAACAATTCAACAGGGAAATATTCCATTTTCAACAGTAGTGGGATAATTAGATATCCACATGCAAAACACTCCTATGCAGGAAAGGATAAACTCTGAGGACTGAGATAATCAAACCCTGCATATTCCCAAGAAAGCCCTGTTTTTAGGACTGGCCCTTCCTTGGCCAACTCCTAGGAACTGAGCTCTGAGCCTCCGAATATTCTGAAAAGAGTGTTTGTGGCTACCTAAGGCTCTGGGCCACTGCAGTACCAGTGTGATTAGATAGTTTATACCAACAATGTAATTTATGGTAAACACCTATTTTTGCACTGGAGTCTGGAGTCTGAGCAGCTGAGGTCAATCATGCAGGCATGCTGCATGCCTACACTACAGACCTACATTATTGACATTATTAACCCCCTTTATTGAGGTTTTTTATTAAACCTGGACACTAAGATCTTGGGTAAGGTTCCCTAGCTGGCAACATTTTTCTCATGCTGCCATTCATCTTTGCCGGGAAAATAAAGTACATCCTGCACAACTGCACTAGTAGGGGATACCTAGAAGTTTGCATCTGGTTTCTCCTAGACTATGCCCAGGTGCCTTTTGCTGATTTAAATGTGTTGTTTTGATGAGGGATCAAAAGGCAAACTGAAGGCAAAGTACAGGCTAACAGCAGCCCCTGGACCCACCCAGGTGGAATATGTGTAATATTCCTCAGACACTCCTGGCTACCCAAGAACAAAGGAAAGGGGTTTAAGTGCTTGCCATGGTGATACGGGAAACAAAGGCAAATAAAAAATTAAATTCCCTTACTGCCTATAGCCCGTTGACAAGTCCTTGAAACTGGCAGAGTGACCTCCTTCTAGGAGCTCAGCTGCCTCAATGATGACACTTTGCTAGGGGCAAAAGAGAATCTTGGCTTAACATTATCCTGACCACCACCAGCCCACCCCCCACCCCCCACCCCCCACCCCCACCCCGAACCTTTAAGTCTACTTTAACATATAAAAATTCCTTTGGAAACTTCCTTTATCTCAACTTCCCCAAGATATACACTGGTAATCAGACTCCAAGCCATGACCCCTGATATATATCAGAAGGGTCTCATGACTGAGGTTTTACTAAACAGTAATAAATGGTGTTTTCCTAACAGCAGCTAGCCCCTCAAGGTCCTGGAAACCTTCCTTCTAAAAGTCCTTAGAGACTTACACTGTCCCTGCCCCCTTGCCAACCTGAGGGTATATAATCAGTTACCTGTCACAATCCCAATTCACCTCTTTCTGCCCAGGGGTCCTGTCCCTGTGCTTTAATAAAATCACCTTTTTACACCAAAGACATCTTGAAGAATTCTTTCTTGGCCATCAGCTCCGAACCCCCATCATCACCCCAAAACTTCATCACTTTCACTGTAATAAATTATAACTTTGAGTAGAACAGCTACTCAGTCCTGTGAGTCCTAGCAAATCAAGCCCAAGGGCAATTTTGGGAACCTCTAACACAGCCCCTACCTCACCATATTAAAAAACTAACTCAAAACGCATCACACATTTAAATGTAAGAAGCAAGACTATAAAATTCTTATAAGAAAGATAGGAGTAAATCTTCATGACTTGGGTTGGGAAATGGTTTCGTAAATATAAAACCAAAAGCATAAGCAGCAAAAGAAAAAATAAGTAAACTGAACCTAATTGAAATTAAAGACTTTATGCTTCCCAAGACCCCATTAAGAAAGTCAAAGACAACCAAAGAACGGAAGAAAATGCAAATCATGTCTGATAAGGAACTCTTTAAAATATATAAAAAACTCAATAAGAAGATAAAAATCTAATTTAAAAATGGACAAAGGATCTGAATAGACATTTCTCCAAAGAAGATTTATAAATTGCCAACAAGCACATGAAAATATGCTCAGCATCATTAGTTGTTAGGAAAATGCAAATCAAAATCATAATGATAATGAGATATACTTCTCATCCAGTAGGGTGGCCAGAACCAAAAAGACAGACAATTAACAAGTGTTAATAAGGATTCTAAGAAAGTAGAACCCTCATACACTATTTATAGGAGTATACTATAGTGGTGCCACTTGGGAAAACCATCTGGTAGTTTCTCAAAATGTTAAACACAGAGTTACCATATGACCCATCAATTCTACTCCTAGGTGTATCAAAAGGAATGAAAACATGAGTCCATACAAAAGCTAGTCCAGAAAAGCTATTTGCATTAATCGCAATAGTGAAAAAATAGAAACAACCAAAATATCCATCAGCTAATAAATAAATAAAATGTGATACATCCATACAATGGGATATTATTCAGCAATGAAAAGAATGAAATACTGATACATGTGTGAACCTTACATTATGTTAAGTGACAGAAGTCAATCATAGTCAGCCACATATTGTATGATTTCATTTATATGAACTGTTCAGAATGAGCAAATCTAGAGTCACAAAGCAGACTGGCTGCCTAGGGCAAAAGGGAGGGGAGAATTGGGTGACTGCTAACGGGTACAAAGTTTCTTTCTGACATAACAGAAATGTTCTAAATTTGATTGTGATTGCACAACTCTTTGAATATCTAAAAAAAAGCATTGAATGTTTATACTTCAAAACAGATGAATTGCATATGATGTAGAAAAAAAAAGTTGTTAACAAAATAAGAGGAGAATTTATTATGAAAAACTTTACGACAAATAGAAAATTTTAGGGGCAACTAGGTAGCTCAGTCAGTTGAGCGCCAACTTCGGCTCAGGTCATGATCTCACAGTTCAGGAGTTCGAGCCCCATGTCGGGCTCCATGTTGACAGCTCAGAGCCTGGAGCCTGCTTCGGTTTCTGTGACTCCCCCTCTCTCTGCCCTCCCCTGCTAGTATCCTGTCCCCCCGCCCCCTCTCAAAAATGAATAAATGTTAAAAATAACTTTAAAAAATATTTACAAAAAAATTAGAAAAATTTAAAAGATTCTTTGAAAACTCCCTGAAAATACGACTTACCATCCCTGAAAATACAACTTTCCAAAACTGATATAAAAAGAAATAGAAAATGTACATGGTAAAGAAACTGATCACCAAAAACCATCACATAAATGCTAGCAAACATTTAAGGAAGAATATGAACCTTACACAAACGACTACAGACAATACAGAAAGAAGGGAGCCCTCAATGAATTGTTTTATGAAGCCAGCATCCAGAAAACTAGAATGGATGGTTATAAAGAAGTAATGTTACCCATTCCACAGGTGTGGGCTGAGCACAGACTTCCTTCCCTAAAGTACACCATAAAAAGGGGAGAACAGGGGCGCCTGGGTGGCGCAGTCGGTTAAGCGTCCGACTTCAGCCAGGTCACGATCTCACGGTCCGTGAGTTCGAGCCCCGCGTCGGGCTCTGGGCTGATGGCTCAGAGCCTGGAGCCTGTTTCCGATTCTGTGTCTCCCTCTCTCTCTGCCCCTCCCCCGTTCATGCTCTGTCTCTCTCTGTCCCAAAAATAAATAAACGTTGAAAAAAAAAATTAAAAAAAAAAAAGGGGGAGAACAGGGGTAAGGGGAAGGTGTAGGTAACTTCATAATAGAGAAACCTGATAATACTTCCTTGGCCAGGTGATCAAGGTCAACACCAACAGTGATGAGTTTGTTGACCACATGTACCTTTGATGTGATATGACTGAAATGGTGCTTTACCTCTGTGATCCTCTTTCCCCAAACCTATAACCCCAGGTTAATCAGATAATACCAATGGAGAAACATTCTACAAAATACCTGACCGGTCATTCAAAACAAAGGCAGTCTGAAAAACAACCCAGAGGAGCCTAAGGAGATATGACAACTGAATGTAATGTGGGATCTTAGACCAGAATTAAGACATTATGGAAAGACTAAGGAAATCTGAATAAAATATGGACTTTAGTTAATACTCATGTATCAATATGGGTTTATTAATTATAACAATACTAATATAAAATGTGAAAAATGGGTGTGGGGTATACAGGAACTTACTGTATAATCTTTGCAATTTTTCTTTAACTCTAAAAATATTTTAAAATAAAAGGTTTATTTTAAAAGGGATAGTAATCGCTTCTCGGCCTTTTGGCTAAGATCAAGTGTAAAAGGGATAGTAAAAGACAGTTTCACTCATCAAGTTTGATATAAAAATCCTAAGCCAAATATTAGCAAACTGTATCTAACAATATATAAAGAGGATAATCTATTATGACTGAGTTGAGTTTACACCAGGAATGCAAGGCTACATTAAACCTGGTCAAAACAAAACAAAAAAACAAAAAGACAAACCAACCAGTGGGGGGGGGGAGGACCCTCACAATCAATATAAATTAACCACATTAACACATTAATGGAATATAAGAGAAAAGTCACAGGAGTACCTCAGTGGATGCCAAGTGTTTAATAGAAGTAATATCAACTCATAATAAAATCTCTTAGCAAATAAGGAATTGAGCACAAGTTCCTTAAACTGATGATTGTTGGCATTAAGAAACCTGTAGCAAACACATTATACAGTGAAATGTTGAAAGCTTTCCCTTTGAGATGAGGAATGAGACAAAGCCTAGTGCCTCCTATTTAACAAGCAGGGATCCTACCCAGTGTGATTTAAAAAACAAATAAAAATGGAAAATTGGGATAAATAAAACTGTCATCATTTTCAGATGATTATATAGGTAGAAAATCTAATGGATAATTTATTACAATTAATAAATGAGTTTAGACAAGTTATTAGATATAAAGAAAAATGCAAAAAAGAATTTACATGTTAAATAGCAGTGACAAACATTTAGAAAAAATTTAAAATATACCATCTCATATCAAACACCTAGAAATAAAGCTAACAAAAGATGTGGAAGAGTTTTACAGATTATAAAAGAGAATCTAAATAAATGGAGGGATATATATCATGTTCATAAAAGACTCAATATTCTAAATTTATCAATTCTCCCTAAAATGATCTATAGGTTTATTCATATATCCATAAAAAATTCCAACAGGTTTCACTGTGAGATATGAAAAAATGATTCTAAAATTTGTATGAAAATACAAAGGGCAAGAATAACCAAGGAACTCTTGAAGACAGAAAAGCTTGCTTTACCTGACACAGAATCAACTTACAGTAATTAAGAAGGAGGTGGTGTTAGAACAAGGATAGACCAATTAAAACAATGGATTAGAAAAGTGACCAGAATCACACCCATATCACACCCATATCACTTGACTGACAACAAAGGTGGCAAGATGGAGCAATGGGGGCAGAAGTGTTTTAAAAACTAACCTGGGGTGCGGGGGGGAGGAGAGGGATGCCTGGCTGGCTCAGTTAGAAGAGGATGTATGTGACTCTTGATCTCGGGGTTGTGAGTTTGAGCCCCACGTTGCGTGTAGAGATTACTTGAATAAATAAACTTAAAAATAAACTAACTTGGGGTGAACTTGAGATCTAAATGTGAAAGTCAGAATAATAAAACATCCAGAAGGCCAGTAGAGAATATCTTATGACCTTAGGGTATGCAAAGTTTTCTTAAACAAGACAAAAAACAGTCCAATTACAAAAGAAAAGAAACTCGATGGCACTGAAATTAAGAACTTCTGTTCATCAAAAGGCTCATGAAGACACTGCAGAGCTGAGGGAACACAGCCAACATATGTGAGAGCAAAGAACTTGGTGACAACAGCTGGAAACACAGGGGGTCCTCTGAGACCACCAGGGTCCACATTTTGTTCCTCTTCTGCCCCCTCCCACAAGATGTGTCCTACTCCCAGATACTTGTGAACAAACCCCTGATCTTCACAGGGAGCTATCAATACAGAAACCAGAAACTCACATCCTATTTTATTGTTCTGCTGACAACTACAACAGATACAAAGGGCTGTCCTATACAGAAGCAACAACATGAAACTATTCATTGAATTTTACTCAAGATTTTGCCTCTGCTTTGAATGGGAAGACAGTCTGAGGCCAGAGTCAAAGGAGGAAAAGAAAGCAAACCTCACCTCCACCAGGGCGAACTTCTCCTCACTAGTGTAGTTGTAGCGGGTGGCGCGCTCATACTCCTCAGCATTGTCTGGGCAGTCCTTGTTGGAGTACTTGTCCGTTGGGTGCACAAGTTTCCATGAATACTGGTGTGGTCAGAAAAGGGGGAGACATCCACACTGAACGTAAAATGCTTACCTTCTGGTCTGACTGACATGGCCATCACCAAAGTAACCAAAGGTTAGTCTTTTAATATTAGTTGCATCTGAAAATCACACACATGCATGCATGCTCACACATACGCTATGCACACATACACATACACACACATGCACACGCGCGCACGCACACACACACACACACACACCAGAGTTCATCTCCATAAAACTGCAAAACATTCTAGCCATGTGACTTCAGGTTTAAGAAATATATCAGGTAAAATGTCCAGGATATTTTGTGTTGAATATCTAAAACTAGCCATTTCATCACCACTTCTTTTTAAAATCAGCTCTTCAAATGATCATGTGCTCATCTGATTTAATAATTTTCATCTAATCAAAGTAAACAAGAGGAGGGAAAATCTTCCAAACTTACAGGTATCCAAATCTTCATATCACATCAGAAACTATTTTAGTAATGCTAAACAAAAGAAACCAATGGCTGGAACTCCACAGAGAAAGCGTTTTAAAAAAATGAGAATTAGGGGCACCTGGGTGGCTCAGTCAATTAAGCATCTGACTCTTGATTGCTTAGGTCATGATCTCACAGTTCGTGAGATTGAGCCCTGCATTGGGCTCCACGCTGGGCATGGAACCTGCTTGGGATCCTCTTTCTCTCTCTCTTTCTCTCTCTCTCACTCTCTCCCCCTCTCTCTGCCCCTCCCTTCCCTCTCTAAATAAATAAATAAATAAATAATAAATTGCATGAGAATTAAAAATCATAATGGTACAAATTCTATCTAAATGTTTTAAAAGATAAGACTTTTTTTATAAACAGACAAAACATATTCTGAGCCATCTTAGAAACATTTAGACTGATATACATTTTAATTCTAGGGTTAGAAATAAAAAGCCAATTCATTCTCGAACAAAGACTAAAGTTAATGCAGAAAAAATATCATTTAATTTCTTGATGGCCTTGGGAAGAAAAGCACTTGTAACCAACCAGGGGTAGATGTTCTTTCAGGTCTCTGCATTTCCAAATAGAAGCAAGCATAGAGTGCCTACCACTTCCATCACGTGAGCACTCCACTGAGACAGCAGCTGCAGGCCCTGAAGCGCCAGGTCAAAGAGTTTCCGGTACTCGGTATCTGTTTTCTGAGTCTCCTGGCGGCCCGACCCTGTGACAACCTAGAGCAGCACAGGAACATCAAGAAGTTGCCCTACATCTAGAAAAGTCACTTATGCATTTACCCCATGACCTATCAGACCCACTGGGAATCTACATTAAAGGTGCATTTGCAAAACTACAAAATGATGTAGGCACATGAGCCTTTACCATGACAAAAGGCTGGCAACAGTAGAGCCCTGATAATGGACATTCTGCAGCTCTCAAAGAAGAGAATGTCTCTACAGACTGTGCTGGAGGGATCTCTAGGACATGGTGTTAAGAGAACCATGTGCATAGTTATGCTTCTACTTAGCTAATAAAGGAAAACATGCACATCGTGTGTATTTGTTTATATAAAAAATGAAAACCTAAATTTATTTTTTATACTTTTTTAAAAGAGTTAAAAAAATTTTTTTAATGTTTTACTTTTGAAAGAGAGAGAGAGAGAGTGTGAGCAGGGGAGGGGCAGACAGAGAGGGAGGCACAGAATCTGAAGCAGGCTCCAGGCTGTCAGCACAGAGCCTGGAACAGGGCTCAAACCCACGGACTGTGAGATCATGACCTGAGCCGAAGTCTAATGCTTAACTGACTGAGCCACCCAGGTGCCTCTGAAAACTCGTATTTAACAGTGGCTACCTAGGGGCGCCTGGGTGGTTCAGTCGGTTAAGCGTCGGACTTCAGCTCAGGTCCTGATCTCCCAGTTTGTAAATTCGAACCCCGCATTGGGCTCTGTGCTGACAGCTCAAAGCCTGGAGCCTGCTTCTGACTCTGTGTCTCATTCTCTCTGCCCCTCCCCCATTTGTGCTCTCTCTCTGTCTCTCAAAAATAAATAAATGTAGAAAAAAAATTTAAGAATGGCTACCTAAAAGACAGGAAAGTGCAGGGTGGAGAGGAATATACCTCCTTTTGTACCTCTGACTTTGGAACCACATAAATATTTTATATAATTATGATATAAAATTAAATTAGGGGACAAAAGCAATCCTTAAAACTCAAAAGCAAAATGAAACAATGAATTAAAGTGTGTACTTGAATTGGGTGCATGACTGCACAGAGGAACTAGGTAGTGCAGGTATCTGACAATGAGCTTTTTTATTATAGTGTAAGTGCCTGGCATTAAGCTTTTGATTGCTGAGGCATCTATTTCAAAAACATCCATCTAGAATAAACACAGTACCAGCTACATAAGTAGATAAAGAGCCAGGTAGCCCAATCTATGAAGTTCCCCTTCTAGAAAGCTCTTGGTGACCTACATAACTCATCACTTGAGTGACCCACTTTACTGCCCTCATTCCTGCTCTTATGTTTGAAATTTGCCAATAAAGAGTAAACCAATGAAATCCTAGGTACCCTACACCCTGGTCTCTTAATAAAGACAGAGCTCGAGGTCCACACTCCGTTGTCATTTCACTTTGTGGCCCCAGGCATGCCATGTGCCTTCCAGAACTCTGAGTACATATGCCTTTTCCCCCCAAAGTTCCCTGATGGTTGTTGCTGAGGTACATCTTGCAGTTGTAGTAAGAACCACAGGGCCTGTGCAGCCACAGTATTGGCTCTGCTCGGGGACATGTCTATGGAGACTGCCAAAGATAAGGTGAGTCCCTCAGGCATCACTATCAGGAGGTTGAGACCAACAAAAACCACTTCAAGTGACTTTGAAAAACAATGATAAAGAAAGAAAGAAAGAAAGAAAGAAAGAAAGAAAGAAAGAAAGAAAGAGAGAGAGAAAGAAAGAAAAGAAAGAAAGAAAGAAAGAAAGAAAGAAAGAAAGAAAGAAAAAGTAAAACAATGATTTGTTCTCTAACCCTAGAGGGAGAAAATCTAAGGACAAAATTAACTACAAAAGAAATCTTAAAATACTTTTTAGTAATTATATTGTCATTATAATATATTATAACATCGCATATGACAATATACAATTATATTGTTTCTAGTAATTATATTGTTATTAGCAGTGCTGGTATTGCTATTTTAAGACTGGTAAGTGGGGGCGCCTGGGTGGCGCAGTCGGTTAAGCGTCCAACTTCAACCAGGTCACGATCTCGCGGTCCGTGAGTTCGAGCCCCGCATCAGGCTCTGGGCTGATGGCTCGGAGCCTGGAGCCTGTTTCCGATTCTGTGTCTCCCTCTCTCTCTGCCCCTCCCCCGTTCATGCTCTGTCTCTCTCTGTCGCAAAAATAAAATAAAACGTTGAAAAAAAAAAAAAAAAAAAAAAAGACTGGTAAGTGTATACTAAGATAAGACATCAAGTCAAAAAATGCTGTAGTCAAATTAAGAACCAGGATTTTCAGCATGAAAGGGAAAAAAAAAAGAATCTGAAGTAGATTTACTTCAAAAGAGTATTCAAAAAAGTTTATTACCTTAGATGATGCTAGAGAATCAGTTATTTGAAAATGTGATATGCATAGTAAAGGAATCCAGCTCTGACCTGTCTCTCCTGAAGGAATCATACATGCAGAGCAAGGAGTGAATAGAGTAGAGTACCATCAGGTTGCAGCCCTAATGAATTCATACATTTGGCAGTGAACAGTGGTTGTCTACAACCCAGGTGAGACAGCCAGCACTCTAGCAGACTGCAGTGCAGCAAATTATGGGCCAGGTGGCCAGATGAAAGAGGAGTCTAATCAGGCTCCTGAATCTAAGAACCAACGCAGTGGAAGCACAGGGGACATGATGATGAAGGAGCAAAAGGCAAGCTGAAGGCAAAGCACAAGCTCACAACCCAGTGGGATATGTGTGACATTCTTCAGGCACTCCTAGCTGCCCAAGAACAAAGGAAGGGAAAAACAAAGGGTTAACTGACAGAGATCACAGTCATGTAGCACGAGTCTCCATGAGTTTGCAACTGTCTCAATGATTTACAAGAAAAAAGGTAATCTCCGGAAACCTACAGACTGTTTCCTGGAGCCTTAACATTACCCTGCCCTCCAAAGGATAGAAAATCTTATGTAGGAGGATCAGCGTAGCTCAGTCAGTTAAACGTCCAACTCCTGATTTCATTTCTGATCATGATTTCGTGGTTCATGAGATCAAGACCTGCGCCAGGCTCTACTCTGACAGCATAGAGCCTGCTTGGGATTCTTTTTCTCTCTCTGCCCCTCCCCTGCTTGCATGTGCACACAACCTCTCTCTCTCTCTCTTTCTCTCTCTCTCTCTCTGCACCTACCCTGCTCACACACACACATACGTGTGCAATCTCTCAAAATAAATAAACTTAAAAAAAACCCAAAACATCTTATATAATTAGTCACTCCTCACAACCCTAGTGCAGCTCTTGCTGCCCATGGTTCCTGTCCCTGGGCTTTAATAAAACCACTTTTATGCACCAAAGACATTTCAAAAATTCTTTCCTGGCTGTTGGCTCTGAACCCCAACACTTCAAACCATATCAATGGCAAATGACACCACAGGGAGTAAGAGACACACCAACCAACTATGGTGCACAAAACTTATTTGGATACTGAGGCAAACAAACTTGGAAAAATAAACCATTTGTGAGTCGATAGAAGACACTAAACAATGATTTTAATATTAAGGAATACTTGATTTTTTTTAAAGGTATGATAATGGTACTATAGCCATGTTTAAAAAGAGCCCTTATCTCTGTAAGACACATGGAAACCCAAAGGAGAGGGTGGTTGGAACCTCTGATCTATATACAGAGCAGAAGCACACGGGTATGGACTTGCTTTGGGGGTAATAAATGTTCGAATATGGACTATCATGGTAGTTACACAATTCAGTGAATAAACTAAAAACTTTTGAATTGTACACTCTAAATGGGTGAATTGTATGGTATGTGGATTAAATATCCATAAATCTGTTTAAAAATAAACTGTGCAGGGGCACCTCGGTGGCACTCGGTAAGTGTCCAACTCTTGATCTCGGTTCAGGTCATGATCTCACAGTTCGTGGGTTCGAGCCCTGCATTGGGCTCTGTGCTGATGGTGTGAAGCCTGCTTGGATTCTGTCTCTCCATCTCTCTGCTCCTCCTTCGCTTGTGCTCTCTCTCTCTCTCTCTCTCTCTCAAAATAAATAAATAAACTTTATTTTAAAAAAAAACAACTGTGCAGCAAAGACAGATCTCTTTTTTCTTATTCAAACCGTTACTGTAATTATAAAGGTATGACAGCAGAAATCAGAGGAAAAATAGACAGGAACCATACATGCTATCAAATGCACCTATTTTTAGGGTAGAAATCAACTCTATATGTTGTCTGAGAGCTTTCCAAGAGTTTGGTTTACAACTCTATCAGCACAGCCTTCTTGAACACCCACCCCATCTCTATCCTGTGGGTTGTGCTGGTGGCTGGGAAGGAGTGAGATACTACCTTCTCTCTGGGGAGTTGGCCACCAGGGGTCTGCTTGGAATAAGCATGTGCTCTGAGCCATTTGGACCATCTTCTAGTCATTCTGGTTACATGATGGCTAGTGTTTGCTGGGTGAGAAACAGGGGAGCTCATTGCCCTGCAGTAGGTGGGGTCAACACAGAGTTACTCCCTCCAAATGTTAATGGTCCTCCTGAGATCCCTGAAGTACCACAGTCTCAAAAACCAGACCGGTGTATGTGGTCTCAAGTCCCCAAAGGGGACTCATAGGGTCTCATAGTCCCTCAAAGACTATGTGTCACACCCATACCACTGACTACTGCTTGTCCCTGACTTCGCTGCCCTGCCTGCTCAGATGTGAAAAATGACATTCCCACTGCTCCTCTGGACTCAGACCTCTCCACTCCTATCCACCCAACATACAGGCAGGGCTGGCCTGGAGGTATGCTTGGCAGATGGGAAAAATGTGACCAGCCCAAATAAGGACACAGAAAACCCAGCTGCAAAGCTGGAAGGAATTAAAAAGACCTATAGGTGAGACAGTGCTTCCTTCTACCCCCAACTCCAGGCCCTCCTCTGAGTGCACAGGACATGTCCTCCTATCCAGCCAGAGGCTCCTGCACAGCTGTGGCCTTAGGTACCAGCACAGGCAGGCATGGAAGATCCACTTACCTCACTATTGCTGTAGCGCGCCAACTCTGAGATAAAGCGCATGTGGTCCTCCCGGATCTGGATCATCTGCTCACAGATATTATACTGCGGGCTGCTGCTGGATGATGTGCATGTCCATCTGGCAGTGAAGGGAAAATGTGTATTACCTGCATAAGACTTATACATCATAATGCTGGGTGGCCAGGGACATATGCACAGTAGGCACACAGGATGGCCTACTGGTCCTGCATGCTGCCAAGGAGAAAGAGGCTCAGAGAGAATATGAATTCTCAGCAAAGAAGTAGCCAGCCAGCCCCATCTCCCTGTGTTAGGGTCACTGTCCTATCTTCCGATACCTGCGTTTTGGAAAAGGAATCATAATTTCTCTTTAATCAGCCAACTACTTTCAAAAAGCTGAGAGGTGTTGCTGGAGTTAGGATACTGCATCACCGTGCAAGGACCCTTGACACATACTGCAGATCTGGTGGGAACTAAGAATTCTTTATTACTCACATGTGAAAACATAAGCTATAGTAGAAAACAAGTCAGCCAAAGACTCCGAAACAAAAGTTATCCTTACAGGGAGTTGAAAACTGACATTACTTGGAAGTTAGACAGTTGACTTATGTGCACAATACACCATTTTAGCAGCAAACAGTCAATTTAATGGGAAAGAAGTTTATTAAGAATTAAAAGTTGTTGGAGCTCTTAGGCAGAAAGTATGGGCCCTAGGGCTCTGACCTCTGCTCCCTCACACTCAGCACAGACACTCTCACCATGTTTTTAACAAGCTGGTCCTCTTTGCTTGAAGGGAAGGAATTCAGATTACCACTTTTCAAAATAATGGGGACACTGTCTCAAGCAGCAGTCCTTTCTTACTTTCTGATTCCACTATAAGATGATGCAATGATTATGTTGGCATCATCCAAGGTGGCTCCCTGAATCTGCAATGAGTACATGAGGCCCAGGCCCTAGACCAGTCTCCACCCTCAATAAACCTGCCTCCCCTGCAGGCCCCAAAAAGCATGTCCACCTAAAGCAAGGCCCTAGAGCCCAGAACCTGACTGCTGACATCACACACTCTGGCCACCCTTTCTGGACCCAGATGTCGGTGCAGGGCTAGTGGGTTGGGCTCTCAAAGCTCACCGCTACTTGCTCAGGCACCTCCCAAGGTGGCTGTTAAATGCCCACTAACACCAATTATATGCTATTGACTTATAATAAATCATATTAAAAAAATAGAAATAAGGGGCGCCTGGGTGGCTCAGTCAGTTAAGCGTCCGACTTCAGCTCAGGTCACGATCTTGCAGTCCGTGAGTTCGAGCCCCGCGTCGGGCTCTGGGCTGATGGCTCGGAGCCTGGAGTCTGCTTCCGATTCTGTGTCTCCCTCTCTCTCTGCCCCTCCCCCATTCATGCTCTGTCTCTCTCTGTCTCAAAAATAAAAACATTAAAAATAAATTAAAAAAAAAATAGAAATAAGCATGCAAAACTCATTGTTTCCTGATTGTCTTACTGGTTTTACCATTACCTCTCATCTAGAGCTCATCTGTGTCTGTTAGGGTAGAAGCACTGTGTAATGGCATGCTACTAGAGCTGAAACAAGTTGTTAGCCTCAAGTCAGTCATGGCGGGAGTATTTACACCATGTAAATCAGCACATGCTCCAGGTCAGAGCTTGAATTAGTGCTGAAGCAGAAAGAGGTTTCAGTTTAATGAATGTAACTTAGAGAAGAATGAGAAGTCACCTAACTGGATGGTATATCAAATTTAATGGTAAATTTTATTAGGAAATAAGCTAGCACAGACCTCAACGAACTACAGCACAGACCAAACACAACCTGTGTTTATACGGCCCTAGAGCCATACAAAATGGTACTCACATTTCTATTATTTAAAAAAAGCAACAATAACAGAAAAGAAGAATATATGCCAGATACCACATGTGGCCTGCAAAGCCTTAAAGTGTTTATAATTCAGCCTTTACAAAAAAAGATTGCCAACCTCTGAATAAGCAGATTGAGATGTAATTGATTTTTCAAAATCATGGCTATTTGCAATTGTAGGTTGGCTATGGATACACCTGTTTGGCAAGAGTCAACAAAGCATCCCGTTAAGACTCAACCAGCTATGTGGAATCTACAAAAAAAAAAAAAAAGAGTATGGTGTGTTTTTTTTCTCATCTGTAATTGTGAGCTACAGACCCTTTCTTTATGCCAGGGGCTGGCCAACTCTCTCTGTACAAGGTCAGAAAGTAAATACTTCAGAATTTGTGGGCTACACTGTCACACAGCCATTGTCTTCTTTAAAAAAAAACAAAAACAAAAACAAAAACAAAAACAAAAACCAGCCCTTTAAAAATGTAAAGTCCAGAGTGGCTCAGTCAGCTAAGCTTCAGACTTCTGCTCAGGTCATGATCTCGGGTCGTGAGTTCAAGCCTTGTCCACAAGCCCTGTCCCTGTCAAGCTCTCTGCTATCAGCGCAGAGTCCATCAGATCCTGTCTCCCTCTCTCTCTCTCTCAAAAATAAATAAACATTAAAAAAAAAAAATGTAAAGGCCATTCACAGCAACAGAGATCTTACAAAAATAGCCCTGGGCTGGATTTGGCTCTTCAGTGATAGTTTTATAAGCTCTGTAATATAAATGCAAACATCCCACTGCCCAGCAGGGCTAGTTGTTAAGCATTTACCAGTGTGGCGCTTGTTTACACTTGGACATTCTCCGTGAGTTCTATCCAAAAGAACTCTCTGTGATGATGGAAAAGTTCTACACTTGATCTTAGCCAAAAGGCCGAGAAGCGATTGATGATGGAAAAGTTCTATAGCTGTGCTAACATAGTAGCCACTACTAACATTTGAAATACAGATGTTCGATGGGGGGTGGGAGGGAGGGGAGGGTGGGTGATGGGTATTGAGAAGGGCACCTGTTGGGATGAGCACTGGGTGTTGTATGGAAACCAATTTGACAATAAATTTCACATATTTAAAAAAAAAAATGAAATACAGATGTTCTAACCAAGAAAATAACCAAGAAAATAAATTTCTTGGTTAAATTTCTTGGTTAAATTTCTTGGTTAAATTTCTCTAACAATGACAATAAATTGCATGTTTTAATAAATTTAAAAGTAGGCAGTCACAAGTGACAGGGCCTACCAGATGGGTTTTTGGTTTTGGTTCCAGATGATTAAAACTGTCAAAGGTGTTCTCTCTAGATAAATAAGTGTTATAAAACCACAATGAGAACACTGCAGAATGTTCTACTGGACAACTCACTCTCCTCCTACCGAGATTTATTCTCCTCATAGTGGGCACTGGTCTTGACGTATCTTGCCAGTTCTATTTGCATGTCCCCAAACAGTGGAACAACCTGGAGCTGCTATATTCAAAGAACAAAAAAAATAAGGTCATTATGTATGTTTACTCACCAAATACAATCAATGAATAATGGTAGTAATTACTATGGGCTGAATACTATCTCTGCACAAAATACAATTTAAGAACCAATATTCATAAAACCAATTCAAATATTACAATTAACCTACCTTGTTGCTAGATCCATGCTCATAAAAAAATATCAATTTGCATTTCTATCTATTAGTAACAAACAGAAAATTAAAATCTAAAGGGAAACAACTTGTAATAGCATCAAAAAAACTAAAATATATATGAATAAATCTAACAAAATATGTTCAAGACCTCTAAACAAAAACACTACTAAAAATTCTAGAGAAAGTTTTAAAGTTCTAAGTAACTGGAGAAATATATCAAGTTAACGTTTTGGAAGACTTGGTACTTTTTACTCCCTAAACTGATCTATAAATTCAATGGAATCCCAAACAATATTCCAAGAAGAGGGTGCCTGGGTGGCTCAGTCAGTTGAGCACCGGACTTTGGCTCAGGTCATGATCTTGTGGTCCGTGAGTTCAAGCTCTGCTTTGGGCTCCATGCTGACAGCTCAGAGCCTGGAGCCTGCTTGAGATTCTGTGTCTCCCTCTCTCTCTCTACCTTTCCCGTACCCATGCTCTCTCAAAAATAAACAAACATCAAAACAAAACAATATTCCAAGAAGAAAAATGGTTTATGGATAGTGCATATATGTGTTTGTGTATATGGAAATCAACAAGCCAATTCTAAAATTTATTTTGAAAGGTAAAGGGACAATATCCAAGATAATCTTGAAGAACGTAACTTGAAGTCTTCTTGATAAGCAGATCTGTTCTACGGAAAACTATAGCAACTAAGACAGTGTTGCCCTGGAGCATGGAGAGCAGTGGAGGAGGACAGGAAACCTAAGACAGTATCACATATATATAGACACCTGCTTTATGACCCAGGCAACAATGCACAGCAATGGGGGAAAAGATGGCCTTTACAATAAATGGACGGAATCAACTGGATACCCATAAGGGGAAAAAAGAAAATCAAAAAATGTCAACACCCTTCTTCACACCATTCACAGAGGCCAGATCCAGGAGGATTATAGATCTAGATGGAAAAAGAAATAGTGCTATTTCTAGAAGGTAACAAGAAGAAAATTCTCATAAGCCCGCTCTATATAGATTTTTTTTTTTAATGTTTGTTTATTTAAAGAGACAGAGAGTGAGAAAGCAAGTGGGGGGGGGGGGAGAGAGAGGGACAGAGAGAGGGAGAGAGAGGGAGAGAGAGGGAGTCCGAAGCAGGCTCCACACTGTCAGTGCAGAACTTGACATGGGGCCCGATCCCATGAGCTGTGAGACTATGACCTGAGCCAAAACCAAGAGTCAGACGCTTAATCAACTGAGCCACCCAGGCACCCCTACAAAGATTTCTTAAAGTAGATATTAAAGATTGATACATTAGATTACATTAAAATTAAAAACTGCTGTCCACCAAATGACACCTTTAAGAAAGTGAAAAGGAGAGCCAGAAACACAGAATGCATGTATTTTATAACACATGTATTCAACAAAGAACATGTACCCAGAATATATAAAGAACTATAAATCAAGGGGGGGTGGGGGAGCGGGGTAGGGAGCAAGAAACTTGAAGTGACACTTCACAAGAGAACATACAAAAGATGAAGAGTGTGAAGTTATCAGAGAAATATGAACTAAACCACAAGGAAATGTCAGCCAAAAATATCACAATGATGTACACCCTTTAGGATGCACTTCCTCAAAAAAGTGAGTGTCAAGTGTTGGCAAAGGATGTGGAGCAACAGGAAGGCTCATTCATAGCTGATGGGAATGCAAATCAGCATAGCCATGTGGGAAGTTGTTAGCCTACATCTAACACTGAAAATGTATATGCCCCCAATCCTAGCCCTGAGCAAACACAAACATGCGCAGATGTGCACTAAATCAAAGGAGCACTGTTCATACCAGCCAAAACTCATGTCCATCACAGCAGAATGGATAAATAAGTTGAGGTATAATAATAAAATGGGCTGTGATACCACAATGAAAACCTAAGGACTACAGCTTCAGGATCTCACAGAGATGAATCTAATAAGTGAGTGAAAGCAGCTAGATACAAAAGAGTACACCTGGCATGATGCCCTTTATACAAGGTTCAAACCCAGACAAAACTGCTGCTTTTGCAGATGGGAGCCAGTGATTTCCCCCTGCCCCACTGCCCACACCCATGTTTCCAAATATGGGGCACAGAGGTTTAACTCCCAAAATTAAGTGTATACACTTGATAAGAAAGGCTTATCTAAAAAAATGTAACTCACCTTGAAGTACTTATCAATTTTGGATAAGTTTATTCTTTTCTTGGCATCAAGTTTATAGATGTTGCTGACACTCCCATCCATCAAGTATAGACCAAATCCCATGACCTGAAAATCACAAAATGGCACATAAAACTCAGACCTAAAAGTTTAATTACCCATAAAAACTTCTAATGCTACAGTTCATATATTTGAAGTGGGAGTTCATTCTTCTTTCAAAAAACACTTTTAGGGGTACCTGGGTGGCTTAGTCGGTTGGCATCCAACTTTGGCTCAGGTCATGATCTCGCGGTTTCATGGGTTTGAGCCCCACGTTGGGCTCTGTGCTGACAGCTCAGAGCCTCAAGCCTGCTTCAGATTCTGTAACTCCCTTTCTCTCTGCCCCTCCCCTGCTCATGCTCTGTCTGTCTCTCTCTCAAAAATAAATAAACATTAAAAAAAAAAGTTCAAAAAGCACTTTTAAAAGCTCCTCATAAATAGCTATCCCTTCATAAGAAGCCCTTCTTTTATCTGTGTCATTTCTTGTGCGTATTTTACTGTCCTCTCCAGGCACAAACACCCACCTCTCATTAAGCCCAATGAAATACTAAGTATGTATTTCCATAAGTATCCATGGCCAGAGACTCCCACCCCAGATGGCACAAACAGAATATTTCCACTGTCATAAAGTGCTCCACTAGAGAGGGCACCAACTCGCCCATGCTCTCCTGTGGGGAAGAGATGTTGGGGCTGGGCCCACTCTTACAGGGAAGGGTTTGTGCTGACAGGACACTCAGCACAGTGTTCTTCAGGGCCATCCTTCCCAAAGGTGGAAAGCAGAGCAAATGCAATGGCAGAACTGACTTCTCCTCATCCCAGTAAGAAATGTCACTGAAAACACTCCCCAATTTAAAACTGAGTAATAAAGAAAAGTATGGTAAAAGGCCATGCTCTTGACCAAGAAAAGTCTACTACAATCATGGAGACACAGTAGTGTTAATTCTTAGGAATCACATCCTTAACAAGTAGAATCTGATGATAACTTTGCTATAAGAAGCTAATGCTGACAGAAGCCCTTGACCAGGACTCCTCAGTCATGAGCACGTTCTCCAGGGGTAGGCATGTCATATACCTGACAATGGGATCAAGCCTGGGACACATTCAAAGGAATGTGTCTGGAGAGCCTATAGTGCAGGCTGTGAGCAGGGTGGAGGGTGCTGTGTACACAAACACACGTACGTGTACACACACACACACACACACACGGCAAGCGTGAGAATAAGAAAAGGTTGGCAAGAGCATCACAGTCAAAGCACAGCCTCTTCTTGAGAGCAAGCCTGTCTCTCTGCACAGTTATGTGAGCAGCCATGCCCATACACGTACTTTGAGAAGCATGTGTTTCTCACTGGGTGTCAGGTACATCCTATTCTCGTAGTAATCCACACACAGATTCACAATATCAGCGAGGAGCTCTTCGTAGCCAGAAATCACTTCAAGCTGCTGCTGTAAAGACTGAAACACAAAGTGGGAAATCCATGCCATTGACTGCTCCTAGCTCCCTGGCCCTCAGACCCCAGCAGTGCATGCCATCAGCCAAAGTGGGGAGGGTGGGGGAAGCCTTACTTGGGTGATCTTATTGTGGTTGGCCAGGAACATGGACAGATTCTGTGATTCCTGGATGGACTGTGGGTCTGCCATTTTACGTAAAAACTGAGCAGCCCTTTGAAAGCAAAAAAAAAAAAAAAAAAAAAGTCATATAACCAACGGACTTAATGATTTAAAAAAAAAAAAAGCATAGAAAATCAGGATTTCTTTATCTGGCTACAGTTATCTGTGATAATGTAGGTCTTAGAAGCGAGTTATAATTTCAGCCTCCTCAAACTTCTCTACCCTGGACTCCAGGTCACTCTTCTGTCAACCTGGACAGCTCACGACCTCACTGTCCAACAGCTAATGGACTTCTTCAGAGACGTGGCAGCACCAACCACAGGCCTTCCTGGGGATTTCCTGCACACTGGCCTCTCCCTTGGGCTACCTGTTCCTAAGTCTGAGAAAGACTGCCTCCCCCCTCTGTGACTCCCAGAGTATGGTAATGAAGATGGCCGGCACTGTCCATGTTCTCCACCAAGAATCCTCTAGGCCACCATGTCTCCCACAAGTCAGGGACCACACACAGTTCTGGTGCCAAAGGTCAGAGACAGAATCCTGGTTCCACCACCAAAACACTGCTCAATCTTGGACTGACCTCCTGAACTCTCCTGAACCTCACTTATCACATCTATAACAAACAACTGTCCACCTGACCTACCCACAGAGAAAATGTGAGGAGAGAGGAAACAGCATACACAGAATTACCTGTACACTTAGGTCCAATAAGACTAGAAGGCACACACTGAGTCTCTGAGTCTTGCAAAGCAGCATAAAGCAGCGAATGTGAGCATTCTGCACATCTAGGGCTGTTCCCCAAAAAGTTTAGCGTAAACTGGCCACCTAAGGACATGTCTGTGCAACCTAAAAACTTTGGGGTTTTACTGAAAAAAATTCCCATGGTAAAGGCTAATAACCTATCCCAACAGTCATTTCCTCCATACCTCCTTAGGAATAAATCCTGAATTTCCATGTTACAGCAATGTGCTTCATCTTCACATGACCAATGGTTGAGCAATGAGATATAATGAAAAGCACTGCAAAGTACTTGGAAGTATATGGATAATAAACAGTATGATCCCTTCTATTCTACTGTCTCCCTGTTGACTGGAATGCAGACATGATAGCTGGAGCTCAAGCAACCATCTTGGACCGTGAGACAACACATGAAGATGGCAGAGCAGCAGGACAGCAGGAGCCCTGGTATGAGCACTGTGGAATCCCCTCATCAGTTGCAGATCACCTACTTTGGGACTTTTCAGATGAGAGAGAAATGAGAGATAATCTGCAATCTTGTTTAAGCCACTATTATTTCTCTGGGTTTTAAAAAATTATATAGTTAGGGACACCTGGGTGGCTCAGTTGGTTGAGCGTCTGACTTCGGTTCAGGTCATGATCTTGCACTCTGTGAGTTCGAGCCCTGCGTCGGGCTCTGTGCTGACAGCTCAGAGCCTGGAGCCTGTTTCCGATTCTGTGTCTCCCTCTCTCTCTCTGCCCCTCCCCCGCTCATGCTCTGTCTCTCTCTCTCTCTGTCAAAAATAAACATTAAAAACTAAAAAATAAGTAAATAAATTATATAGTTAAACCTAATATGAACCCTGATATGATAGCACTTTTTTGGAGCACCTGGGTGGCTTAGTCGATTAAGAGTTCGACTCTTGATTTTGGCTCAGGTCATGATTTTACAGTTCATGAGACTGAGTCCCCAATCGGGCTATGTGCTGAGAGATGCCCCCTCTCCCGCACACACACAGGCACATGCTGTCTCACTCTCTCAAAATAAATAAACTTAAAATCAAAGATGCTGTTTTCTATTTTCCTCAAGCCTCGCCATATAGGTTATCCTGGCATTTATACTCAGAAGCATTTGTACTGTTAGCTATTTCCAGGTGCAAATAAAAAGTGTGAGTGTAAGTGTGTGAGGGCTGGGGAGAAATGGGGGTTACTATCTGGGAAGATGATAAGGGATCCCAAACAGAGGTCAAAGGAAGAAGCCAATGGCAGCTGGGGGGTGCCCCAGGCCCACTCTGTGCTCCGGAGAGCTTGGGTGGCTCCTAGAGGGGGTGCGGACTGCCTGCAAGCACATCAAACAAGGTCAACTCCAGACTTTCCTATTCAAGCAAGGTTAATAGGTCAACTCCAAGGATTCTCTAGTTCTGGAGATCCAGGCTTCTGCATAGAGCTAATTCTAGGTGATGAATGCCTACACTTAACTTCACATGGACCAAGCTTAAAACCCTAGATGATCCAGCTTAACTCCTACTGCTGCCTCAATCTTAGATCTGTTTAGCACTATATCCCATGTTGATTTTATTTTAAAGACCCGACAACGGTTGTGTGATTTCAGATACAACACAACTAAAGCCTATTCCAATGCAAAGTAAAATCTCATCAAATTTAATTTCACAGCAAAGATTCTTTGTCTAGCAGAAGAAACAGTAGTCAGCATCTCATTCCAGCCAACCATGCCTTCAACAGTACCAAGCACAGACTTTCTAAAGAAAGTTTATTAGAAGACAGCTCGCTTTGCTCTAAACAACCACCCTTCTTCCTCTTCCTGCCATCAACTGCTCCTTCACAGTATTCCATGGCACACCCACCTTTTCCAATTCTCTACTCCAGAAGTTCTCCACATTCTCCCTGGAGGAGAGCTGGTTTTGGGGACCTGGAAGCTCAGTGTGACCCCAAGACAGTCCACAGGCCAGCTCTGCCCACTGCTGTGATGGTGTGTACCTTCCCAAAACGTACAACCAGGAAGTGAGGTGCTGTTCATCAAGATGCTTATGGAGCCAAAAGCCTTACAGTGACCCTAACCCTCTGTAACAGGGATTGATCTTGTGCACATCTTCCTTCTCACATGTGCTGAGCACCCAGAGGTCCTCAACAAACATTTGAGGATGACCAGGGAGTCCATATTCCGCTCTAGCTTCATAAAACCACAATGTACACACTCTATGAGAAGACATCTCACTCAATACATCGCCACACACATAATCCGCCAGCTACCCCTGCATCTCATATGCAGGAGTGTGTATTCAAATAGTCCTGAGCCTGCCAAACAACCACTACCAAACAGTTGTGGTTATTTCAGCACATATGGGATGTGCACCTACTAGGTGCAGAGCATGTGGCTAATCAAGAACCACTCTGCCTGCCTGAGCACTCTCTGCAAGGTCCTAGGGCACAAGGTCAAAACTCACCTCTTATATGCCGAGTGGTCATTCTTCACACTGCACTTCATGTTCTTTAACTCATCCAGCACAGCAAACATGTTGATGAACTTTCCCAGCGTGATCAAATAGGCTTCAGAAACAAAATCCTTCCTTCTCTCCGCGTGGCACAGGCGCCTCACCTCCCCACAGAAACGCTCAATGGCATTTCTCTGAAAAGAGGAAGGGAGGGCAAAAAAACTGCTGTCACTGATGGGCCAACTCCATGCCCACCTTCAAGCACAGTCACTGTTACTCTTTGATGAAATACCCACCCAAATGAGTGGACATTTACAGCTCAGGTAATGAGACTTGTTTCTATAAAGTAATCTCCACATGCCTTTGCTCTGTGATAATCACCATTAATTTTCCACTTTACCAACTATCCCTAAAATAAAAGAATTTTGTTGATTATTCAAGCAAAGTTACTGAGGAAATGCTCCAAAAGAAGGTCTACAAACAGATGTTTTCACTTTCAGAGGTGAAGATGGGGGCAGGGAAATTTTTCCTCTTAATAACCTTTAAGATAAAACAAAAATTCATCTCCTAATAAGTTCTATCTTCTCCTTTTGCTGAAGGAATCTATAATAAAAACCTTCATACAATTCCAAAGTATATCCTTAAAAAGCCAGCAAGTCCCCTCCCTGTGGCTACTCCACCCAACCAATGGGCCAAAGGAGCCAAGGCAGGCCAAGGACCACTAAGTGGACAGTCAGCAGAGGCTGAGAGAAAAACATCTGAAAAACCAGATGAATCAAAAGTACAAACTGGCAGAAAGACAAACATATTTGGAACTGACAGAAAGCAGTCTTCATGAAGGAAATATTCATTCACTCTTAAAGAAATAAGAGAAGTGAAACACAAAAGATGTATTTATTCTGGAAGGGCCAATAAAGCTGTAGACTGACAAAGGTCTGGTGCCCTTTTGTCTCAGAGGCCATGATGGCTGCTTTAATTCACATACACTTTGTTTAGTAAGTCATGGTGATGGGTAAGAGTGGGCCAGATTCCTACTCCTCTGCATTAAACCCCTAGGATTATTTCACCATTTTACCTGGAAGTACATAAAATTCATCAGTTTTGTGACTTCAGGCTCAAGGACCTCTACGGTTTTCTCGTAAATTTCCACTCTATTAGGCTGCTCGTTACATTTCACCTAGGAATAAACAAGTATGATATAGAGGCTTCAAATAGGCTAGATAGGAGAGCAGGCAGTCCCAGCAGGCTGTGGGGTAGGGTGCAGGAGGGGGGAAAGTACTGGTGGGATAGAGGCAGGGCTGGTGGCATGGGGGTGTGGTCTGGCTAAGATGAGGGAACCATAAGGATAGGAGTGAGGTCTGTGGTAGGGACGTGGCCAGCAGGGATGGAATCACGGGAATGACAGCGTGGCCTGGCTGGGATGGCTTCACCTGTGGGATGGCCCGAGAGCAGCTCCTCCAGGTGTATAGCATGACCGCGTACTCTTGGCCCTCCTCCAGCATTTCATTCTGCAAGGGTACAAAGGGCAAATCAAAGACAAGTAGGAAAATGATCATAAAAAAGGAAATGCCATGTTGCTAAAACCCAGATACTTCATAGTATCCTCTCACTTTGAGAATAGACAAGTACCAGGACCTGCACGCCACAAGACAGCTGCTAAGAGGCTGGTGATGTTCAGTGCAGTAGTGTGGCCACAATGACCACCCAAACACTCTCACGGCTTCTGTTGGCTGGAGAGGAGCCAGCACAGCCCAAGGCACCTGCCACAGCCACTATTCCTCAGCTCCATTCAACCCTAAACAACCTGCTGCCAGTGCAGACCTGAAGTAGCACAGATGCGCACAGGGTCTTCAAGGCTCTTAAGACTGAGGCAGCTCTGCCATCCCCAGTGCAGGGGAGGAAAAGCTGTATTTCTGCAACACTTAAAATCCAGAGAGAGTATCCATGCAAAGAGGACTGCCATCATTTTTAAACTGCTTTAGTGTCTACTCCTTTCACATTGTTTCCTTTGATAAAAATGGTAAGAAGTTCAGAGATGTTCTAAAAACATCAACTACAATTTCATCATATTCTTAAGATGCTTTAAAATGTTTACAACCTTGAATCCAGTAACTTCACTTCTACAAATCTACCAATGGGAATAATGATGGATTTGGAAGGATATTCATCACTGCATTTTCTATTACAAAGAAAAAAAGGGAAACTAAGTAAACATGCAAAAGTAATTCAACTGTGGACATTTACAAAATGAACTATACAGTTATGAAAAATCACCTTATCTGGCACACTTTAAAGACAAGTGAAAAGTTCATGAAATCATTAAAATACATAATAACACTGCAATTCATTCATGCAATCGAAGTCATATCTTAGTGTATAACTGTGTTCGTGAATACGAGTGTAAATAAAAAGGAGAGAGGGGTGCCTGGGTGGCTCGGTTAAGCATCTGACTCTTGATTTCGGTTCAGGTAGTGATCTCACGGTTCACGAGTTCGAGCCCCACACTGGGCTCTGCACTGACAGTGCAGAGCCTGGTTGGGATTCTCTCTCTCTCTGCCCCTTCCCCAACTGTGCACTCTCTTTCTCAAAATCAATAAATAAACATTAAAAAAATAATACAAACATAAAGAGGAGAGAGAATGGTACTCCCTCAAAATGCTGACAAAGGTTTTCTCTGAGCTATAAATGCTAAATTTTCAGAAAGAATATGTATTATGTTTATAATAAGAAACACAAAGGTCTTTTTAAAAACATAAGGCATTTTCATCCACTTTCTTCTTTTTTTCCTTACCACAGATCATATCAGGATAATACCAAAAAGGTGTACATTTGTCAGTACAGGTACTATTCCCCCAAGGAAAACAAAGACATACAGAAGGAATTACCATGCTAGAATGGACAGTTGCTTGTTCAATGTATCTTGCAATCCCAGTGACAAATGCATTTCTGTCTTCAAAATTAGTGTTGAAATTTGGCTGAAAGGAAGAGAAAAACCATCACGTGGAGGTCAGTGTTGCAGACAATGCACCCCACTTCCACTCGGCACACACCTGGTAGAGCAGTGAGGATGGTGGGGGCTCGATACAGGGCTGCTGGTCAGGCAAAGGCAGCTCTTCCAGGAGATCCACATTGGACAGTGCATCCTCCAGTGTCACCTGGGCTGCCATCCTGGCCTAGAACAAAACACAGAGCCACCTGTACTGTGAGGAAGGGTAGTAATACTCTGACAACCATTCCAAGGTGTGGCCATCAGACCCCCTTCCCCTGACCCCTCACTTGAGGGAACTGGAGGTGGATGAGGTGTCAGGACCAATCCCCCAGAGTCTGGTGTCTCTTCTAGGGCTTGCTGGCAATGGAGGCATGATGTAGCCTCTTCTAGCTTCCAGGAGTGTCATAGAGCAGGGCACGTGCTTCCTGTCACCCTTTGACAGGCCATCGTCTCTAGAGGGCTCCCAAAGGGGCTCTTACAGGGCCAGAGTAGGGAATATCATCTTCAACACCATGTCTGCCCTCAAGAAAGCCAGCACATCCTCTAAGGGGGCAACAGTGCTTCCCGGCATGCAGACCTTCCCAGGTGGGTCCTCTAAGCAACATTACACACTAAGGATGAAAATGGAAAAGGCCAGAGCCCTTTCTCCATGGTCAGCCTGTAGAGGCTAAGCTGAGGGCCAAGGGCCAACATGAAACAGAGAGGTGTTAGCAAAGGACTGAGAGCATAAACTCGAAGGCTAGTACAGAGAAGCACAGAAATGAAGGTGGATGTCATCTAACACATCTGTGCCAGCTCCAGGAGAGGAGACCGCACACTCCAGCCTGCTTCCAGCTGAATGCTGGTCTGAACCTGGATAGGCCACAGGGAGTATAAGCAGCTGCAACCCTAGATGTGACACACCAAGCAGCTCTGATCCCAGATAGGACATGTGGGGCAGCTCTAACCCCAGATGGGACACATGAGGCAGCTACATGTATTGTGAGAAGGAAACAGCAGCAGACAGGCTGGATGAGAACACTCAATGGAAGAAGCTCCTCCCAACACTAGGCCCCAGAGAAAGTGTGGGTATAGAAGTACATGGTAGGGCAAGTTACCAAACCCCCAAGCTGCTGGCTTAAGAACCAAAAAAGGAACCCAAAGGTACTGGACAGCCCCAGGGACAATGTGGAGAGGAAGAATCTCAGAAGAGCAAGCCCATAAAGTTGCTCATGAACTTTGGGACCATGCCCAAGAGACAAATGCATGGATCTGATCCTCTCACACCCCAATCCCTGAGACCACAGAAAACTCCCAGATGGCCAGAGGCAGCACTCATAGGACAGATCCAAATGGCACCGCAGGGGCTCTGAGAACAGAACTGACACTGAATCACACACCAGAGAAAGCAGGTCAAAACCACACCCTAAATTGAACCAGGTTGTTTGACTCTAAAATAAAAAGTCAGCATTTGCCTAGGACTTAAGACCCAGAGTCTCATTTCATAATATACAAAACGTCCAGTTGCAGTCCAAACGACTCAGCACACAAAGAACCAGAAATGTCTTAATTCTTATAGGAAAAGATGACTAACATACCAACAATGAAATAATACAGATATTACAATCATGCATCAGACTTTAAAGCAACTACTAAAAAAATGCTCTAACAATGACAACACTTCCAAACTGAAAGAAAAAAATCGAATGTCAGAGGAAAAAAAAAAAACCTTTATATAAAGAACTAAAGAAAATCCTTAAACTTTTAGAACTAAAAATACTGTGTGAAAAATTTTAAAGCCCCTACATGAGCTCAAGAGCAAAACAAAGATTTGGTGAACAATAGAAATTATCTAATCTGAACAACTGAAAAAAGGTTGGGAAAAAAGTGAAAATCCTCAGGGGAACTTTGGGATGAGAAAAGTGGTCTAACATTTGTGTTATGAGTGCAAGGAGTGCTGAAAGTGGGTAAAAAAATAGCTGAAAACAATGACTGAAAACTTCCCACATTTGGCAGAACACTCATATGAATTCAAGAAGCTTAAAAGATCCCAAACAGGATAAACCTAAAGAAATCCTTACTGGACAGATCATAATCAAACTGTTATAAACTAAAGCAAAGGAAAAAAAAGATATCTTGAATGAATAAGTCATGGGAATACAAGGCACAACATAATGAATACAGTCAATGGTATTGTAACAGGGATGTATCAGGATAGATGGTAGTTGCACTTGTGGTGAACACAGCATAATGTATAAACTTGTCAAATCACTATGTTGTATGCCTGAAACTAATGTGACATATTGGGTGTCAACTATATTTAAAAAAAAATTAACTGATGAAAATAATGTATCTTTAAAACAGAGAAAAAAATGCATTACCTACAGAACAACAATTTGAATGCCTGTTGATTTCTCCTCAGAAACCAAGGAGGCCTTAGGAAGTAGAATGACACTTTTTAAAGTCTGGAAGAAAAGAACTGTCAACACAGATTCCTATATCAAGTGAAATAGTCTTCAAGAAAGAAGGTGAAGGGGTGCCTGGGTGGCTCAGTCGGTTTAGTGTCAAACTTCGGCTCAAGTCATGATCTCACTGTGAGTTCAAGCCCCGCAACAGACTTGCTATTGTCAATGCACAGCCTGCTTTAGATCCTCTTCCCCCTCACTCTCTGCTCCTCCCCCGCTCATGCTCATGCGCTCTCTCTCAAAAATAAAATACACACTGGAAAAAATTAAAAACAAAAAAGAATGAAGGTGAAATAACATTCTCAGATAAAGGAAAAGTAAGAGGATTCATAGACAACAGGCTAATCAAAGTTCTTTAGATAAAAAGGAAGTGATACCAGAAGGAAACCTGGGACACAAAGAACAAAGCAAAAGCGATCCAGAGGTTAAACTGAACAAGAGAATAGACTGTTTCTTCTGGAGCTCTTTAAAAGATATTTTGTGGTTGAAAGTAAGAAATTAAAGCACTGTCTAATAGGATTTCGGTGACTATAAACATAATATGTAAGAGAACTATGACATAAGGGGGGGAAGGGAAAGGTGTAAGATTTCTACAATCCATTTGAAGTAGTGAAATATTGATTCTCAGTAAACTGAAATGTTAAGCGTGTGCTTTACAATCCCTAGAACAACCAATAAAAAAGTTATGAAAAGTAACATAACTTATAAAAAGATCATATATAATGAATCAATATGGAATACTAAAAATGTTCAGATAACCAATAGAAGGCAGGAAAAGGAAGCAGAGCAATGGAAAAAATAGGGATCCTCTTTCTGCTATTTGAGGACACAATGAGAAGCTGGGGATTGCAACCTGGAAAAGGGTCCTCTGATTCTGTGACCAATTCCAAAGCATGGGTTTTTTTCCCCCTACACCACCAACCAATTCTTAGACACCAGCTGGGTGTCCTATGATTCAATTCTGACACTATCTAGCTGCAGACAGCATCAGATCCCACAGGTTAAGAACTCAATCCTACAAGACTGCCCCCTGTGCCACTTTAGACCCCAATCAAAAGTCCAGGTTGTCACTTGTGCTTCTGACAGAAATCAGAGATTCCCAAAACCTCCTTCCTGGGTTCAATTAATTTGCCAGAATGGCTCACAGAACTGAGCAAAGTATTTTATTTACTAGATTACCAGTTTATTATGAAGGATATAACTCTGGAACAACCAGATGGAAGAGAGGCATAGGGCAAGTTATGGAAAAGGGTGCTGAACTTCTATGCCCTCTCTGAGTGCTCCATACTCTTCCCAAATGTTCACATATTTCATTAATCCAGAAATTCTCAGAATCCTGTCCTTGTGGGCTTCCTTACATAGGCATGACTGATTAAATAACTGGCTATTGGCAAAGGATTCAACCTCCAAGGTCAGGGAGGTGGGATTAAAAGTTCCAACCCCCCCAATCCTGGCAAATGGCTCCCATTTTTAAGGAGTTTTCCAAAAGTTACCTCATTAACATAAACTCAGATGTGGTTGAAAGGGGTTTGTTGGGGCGCCTGGGTGGCTCAGTCGGTTGAGCGGCCGACTTCCGCTCAGGTTGTGATCTCACGGTCCGTGAGTTCAAGCCCCGCGTCGGACTCTGTGCTGACAGCTCAGAGCCTGGAGCCTGTTTCAGATTCTGTGTCTCCCTCTCTCTGACCCTCCCCCATTCATGCTCTGTCTCTCTCTGTCTCAAAAATAAATAAACGTTAAAAAAAAAATCTTTGAAAGGGGTTTGTTAGTGAATATCAAGACACCTTTATATTCTTTTCCACTTAGGGAACTACAAGGATTTTAGGAGCTCTCTGTCAGAAACACATGAACACCAAATATATATATATATATATATATATATATATATATATATATATAT